TCCTTCCTTCCTACCGACCCTCCTTCCTACCGCCTCCTCTCTCTCTCTCTCTCCCTCCCATCCACCCTCCCTCGCCCCTTTTCGATCGCCGATTTTCGGATCCGTCGAGGTGCGTGCGGGCACGCCGCGTTCGATCTCGTGAATGTGCGCGATCAGGAAGCCGGTCGTCCGCAGGGAAACATGCGTGAGCAGAGCTGGAGGACAACGACTGCGACAACGACGAGGAACACGCTGCACGTGACTGCGGCACCCTCGCACGTTCTGCTGCAGTGAGTGGAGAGAAAGGGAGGAAAAAGAGAGTGATAGAAACACGTCCTTTCTCCTTCCGCTGTTACGTCGGAGCCTGTGCTTAACGGGGAGTAAAAAAGAGTGCCGGTGGTTGGTGCGGTATACGTGAGTTACCGAGGATCTTTCTCCTTTTTTTCTCGTGATCCACGGAGGAGGCTACGAATCCTGGCACGTTTTCGGTGCCGTTCGAACCACCCGAGAGAAGATGAGGCGTACCATCTTGGAAACGAGGATGCACCCCGTGTTATCCTGTTGGTGCGTTGTCGCCACTGTCACCCTCGTCCTCGCAGCATGGCAGGAAAACATCAGGCCGAAGATGTACGTCCAACTCGGTGAGTGCGCTCTCTTTGCATTTTCTACTTACCTTTTTTTTTCCTTTTTTTTTTTTTTTTAAACTTTTACTTTTCTTACTTTCTCGCGTGCTATTTTCTCCGTGCTATTATTCCGTTTTCGTGCGGTGTTTCTTGTCCGCGATGCCGTCGTCATCGAACAGTGGACATACGGTTCGAAAAAACTTCGGTTTCGTTGTTTACGTCGTTACGCGCGAGTGGTTTATACGTCGAATTCCAAGAATCCAAAGATAGATAGACACACAACGACCAGCGTTGTCGCGCACGAAAACAAAAAGTTTGTTTTTAAACTGTGATATTTTCGCGTGATAATTTATCGCGCGCCGCGTAGTCGTCGAAATAACAAATTCGAAATAAAACGGAATAAAAATCGCGTCCAATTTACTCGCTTTCATCGGTTGGCGATCATTTATATTTAGAAATCTTTATTCCCGGTGACGATCGATCGAACGAGAATATCGCTGTATCGCTCGACAGTAACAAAAAAAGGACAGAATTCGTCCGGTTACGCTCGAACGCGAATTAAAATACTCGCAAAAGCTGTTCTCTCTCTCGGTTATTTTACGGTCGAGAAGATAATTTTATATTCTCGTTTGCTCTCGGGTAGCGCACGTCGAGTAGCACCGAACAACGATGCGGAACGGAAGTTACACCGGGTGCAGGGTCATGGACCTTCCCCCACTCGGTATTGTTCCACCCTCTAGCGAGGGGAGCTGTATGTGCAACCCGGTGACTGTAAACCCTAATCAGTGACATAACCATACTCCCTAGCTGGATACCAGGAAAGGATATAAATATATCGACCATCCGTGTCCCGTTTAAATGATTAAAGTAAGCGCGATATAACCGTGGTTCCTGGAAGGAAAAAAAAAAAAAAAAAAAGAAAAAACGCGACAGTTACGCGAACGTATCGATTCCTCGTTTACTCGGTTGCCGATAAATCGATTAATTTCGCGAAGAAGAAGGGGGGAAAGAAAAAAAAAGTCGAATCAAAGGCCGAACGCGACAAGAGCGCGTGTTGTGTTAGATCCTCGAAGGGAAGGAATGATGGATGGATACGGTATTGCGATGCTCGTTGTCAAGGGCGAAAGCGTATCGAGAGAAGGAGAAGAAAGAGTAACGAGTACAAAGAGCGCACCGAGAGTGCCCTACATTCGAGGTACTCGACCTTAACGGCACTCGGCGTGTTTCGCGGCGGTGTATACTGGCGGCCGACATCCAGCATCCATCATTCTCTTTCGGGGGATATATTGGAGCGGAGGGAAGCAAAATATAAATTGGATCGAATCGAGTGCATCGTTTGATCGCGTGCGTCTTTACGCACGTCGGTCTCTGCACACCCGTGACACACATAGCAGACATCGCGTCGCCCCTCTATGAAAAGCTTCGTGACGTTGCCCTCGAGGATAGTCGGCCGATAGACGAACGCTTCACCGCGTTCCTTCTATCTTTTATCTACCAGTAGTAGTGGTAGTAATACAGTTTTTCTACCTTCTGCATCTTTCAACCGTGAGAATGCATTGGACGCGTGGATACTTTTTTATTTTCTTTTTCTTTTCTCTCTCCCTTTCTTTCCCCCGTCGATTTTGCATCGATGAACTCTTGGCATTGACTCGACGACTGCACTTGCCTTCGAAGCTCGTGTTTATCGAACGTTAACGGGACGGACGTGTTTAGGTCTTTTTGCACTCGTCTGGCGAGTGTGAAACGTTAAAAAGTGAAAAATGAACGGAGAAAAATTCTCCATTCGTGAAACGGAAGGGATCAAAGTTTGACGCGCGTGAAAGAACGAGAGAGACACCAGTGACGAAAGTGGTGCAAGCATTTTAATATATGTTATTAACACTGTGGAAATATATTTTCGATGCATCGATGTTGAAAACCCCGATGTTTTAACGCGGGTTATTATTAGTGGGCAAAAAAGAAATTCGTCCAATGTACAATGTTAGTTCTCTTGATTATTGAATTATCATTCCATATCATGTACAGTGACAATTTTAATGAACGCTCGATTCGACGATTCGAATGCGAAGAACGAGTCGTTCGTTCGAAAATTGTGATTTACACGCGAGCTAATAACGGATCACGATCCAACGAACAAAGAACGTTATTATTGTATTGAAAAATTCGAAAAATAATGTCGTGGGGAAACCAAAAAAAAAAAAAGAAAGAGAGAGAGAGAACTATTTTTACGAACTATTTTTATCCAAGGGGATAGCTTAGATAGAGTAGCGTACGTACGTTTGACGCGAAACGGGAACTCATCTTTTTAGACGAATCGATAGTACGAACGATAGAGAGATACAGCATCGGTAGGCCGTAACGTAAGCTCATTAGGCCGTTATGAATTTCGTTCGTGTATTATTTTCCAATAACGGGGGGAATCGAAGCGCACCGCGACGAAACGCGCGGCAGGAATTGAAATTACACGAAGCACGTGTTATTAATACGCCACTGGCGTTGCGGGAACAGCGCTGTTTTGCTCACTGAGTCAGAATTTCTGCTAATTCTACAACGGGGAAAACCACGCCGCAGAACCGAAATTGTAATCACCGGGAAATGCATATTGCCGTTATGGGGGGGCATCCGAAGGGACACCGTTCTCGCTGATGCTGCACCCGCTGTTTATCGCGATTCCATGGATCCAATGCTTATTTTTTCTCGGCCGGGCTTCGAGGGGTGTAACACGATTGGCCAATTACCTGCCGATTATATATCCTATTTACCATCGTTACATCGAGTAATTTCGTTTCAACCGCGTTCTCTGCCGCGAGAAAAACAAAAAAAAACAAAAAAAAAAATTTCTCCCTTCTCTCGCTCCTCCTCCACGCGCATGCGTTTTTATCTTTCGGATCGTTGGCCTCGCGACTCGCAAAAAGCGCGGACGAACGGCGATATATTTCAATGGGGAAACGCCGCCACGAGTGCCGTTGACGATCATCCGCGTCGCGGTTGAAAAACAAACGTCGTAAATCAAGTCTGCCGCGGGGGAGGGGGGGATTCGGCGCCGTCGGAGGAACCGAACCGCGTTTCAAAAATCGAAATCGTATTCCCTTTCGTACGAGCAAGACGAATATTTGGTGGAAGGGTGGAGGAGGGGGCGAAATTCGATTGGATTCGCGGGGAAAATTGGCGCGATACGATTCAGCCCCGGGAATACCTGCCTACGCGGATCATTCCGCGCGGATACGTTATTAAAAGACAGCGCGGATCCGTGATGCGGTCGCGGTAGTAACGCCGAGAGTTCATTACTACGTCCCGGCCGAATGCGCGCATCGAATCGGGTTATAACGGGCAGTTAATCCATATTACGGTAACTTTATCTGGCAGCGAGGAATACCGCAACGGACCAATCATAGCACTGCCCCCCCTCCCCTCCCCCCCTCGACCGATGAGGATACATTATGATTAGTTTCGGTATATCGGTGTATATCGCGACCCGGCACGTATAACCTGACCTCGGCTCTCTAACCACTGGCTAAAATTACTGGGAATCGTGTCAATTGACTAGGCGCGCTCCGAGAACGCGTCCACACGTGGACGTGGCAATTTCATCTTGGCGAGGAGTGGATACGCGAGATTATTCCGTGTATTATTAACAACAATGTGTTAACAACATTGGCGAACAATTGGCGGAGGTAGGAAGGCGGGGAAAATGATCGATTCGATTCGAGGACGAGGGTCGCCTCGTTTTCAAAGATTTCTCTTTGAGGACGAGACGTTGGCGTGTACATTCCACCCCCGCATTTTTTTTTGTGAACCGTCGAGTGTACACTCGACGATAGAATAAGTAGCAGCATACTGGGATTGCCGAAGGGTTCATAAATCTTTTGTCGGGAAGATCCCCCTTGCCATGCTCGATCCGGCCGAAGCGAAAGGTCAAAAGCGGCGCGGCTGCCGGGAGCGGTTTCTTCGTTGTGGAGCGCGAGCAAAAGTGTCCTCTTGTCGCTGGGTGTTGACTCGACCCCGCGATCCACCCGAGGAATCATCGTAAATATACGATTGCCTTCGGATCGAGTCGTATCTCGCGCCGTTTCGCCCCGTCTAATGCGTCTCCTTCGTCCATCGATGGATGAACGATTAACTCGCCGAGGTTTTATTATATCGACTCCCGAAACTTGGCCAATTCTTTGATACAGGCAGAAATTTATTCGTTGATATCCCTCTTCTTCGTTTTCTTCTTCGTTCTTCGACCGTGTTTTTTTTTTTTTCTCGTTTTATCATCGCGACTGGAATCGGTTTTATCTATATCTATACCGTCGCAGTTGCGATCGGACGATGAGCACGATTGCTTAATTGAAAAAATATCACCGCGTGTGGGAACGGTGTGAAAGCGTAGATAACGTTGACACGTTGGGAAAAGAGAGGAAAGACGAGGCCCTCTCTCCTTCTTGTTTTTTTTCTTACGTTACTTCGAATCGTCGTAATCGGGTCGATAAAAGCTCGAAGTAATCGCGATCTCGATCGCAATTTCCTTGCTCGAGCGTACGTCGTTAAATCGATCGATAAAATTAAATATCATCCCGAAATCATCGAACTCGTTAATTGACTCGTCGGAATTCGAATACGCTTCTTCGTTATTCTTCGATTCGGGACGATTGCACTTCCGCCCTTGCTTCTTCCCCATCCTGCTCTTTGTTCCCCGATGTTGGTCGTTCGTGCGTCGCGTGGCCGATCTTTTCCTCCTCGACTCAGTCGCTACAGAAATTGGTTTATCGGCGAACAAAGTATGAATAATTCAAACCGGACGATTCACAGTCCAATCAATTTGGGTCCGAAAGCAGGCAGCGTGGCGCGCGCGCGCGCGCGCGCACACACACACACACACACACACACACAACCCTGCTAGGTCTAGGGGAGCTAAGCTTGCTCGGACGGGGTGAAACGAAAAGGGCCATTAGCAGTCTACGGTCTGGTTTAATGCGAGATTCGAATTGGCTGTAATGTGCGTGTGTCCTATCGAATCTAATCTATCGGAGCAA